GCTTTAAAACAAATGAATAACGACTATATATAATAATAAAATACACGGAGCCTGTCCTCTCTTTTTCCTCCCTCTCTTCTGAAAGTCAGTGTCTGTCGCATGCAGCAGCTGATCCAGTAATGAGTGACCCGGCCGACAGTAAAAAATAAACATATTTATAACTAGTTTAGGTAGTTTGAGAGGTAATTAAAATAGCTAAGGGTGATGATCTGACTTGAAGTGTGTGTTTTGCTCCCGCTGCATCACAGCGGGAGGAGATGCGTGTCTCCGTCCTGTCAGATTAGACTTCACTCGCGTTTATGTCCATATCGAGATAAAGATAAATAATCTGAATTCAGTGTGCAGTTCACTTTTGCGGGGGTGAGCAGCAGAGGTGGGGGGAGGCAGGGCTATTGCGTCATCATTATCACAAGATGATCGAATAGAGGCGATCACACGGAGCCGTATGACCCCCCAGAGCGCTCCGTTCCCAGATCTATCCACCTTTGGACCTCGTTTGCGGGGTCCGTTTCTATCGTTTAGTTACGGCCTCATGTGGCAAAAAGGGCTATACGCAAGAGAAATATGCGGATACAACCCGTTTTCGTTCCCGTGGGGCACCAGCCTTAGTTTCAGGGTTTGGAGATAAGATCAGGGAAAGAAAATAGCAGAAAAACAACATTATGTTGTTATAATAATGGCGTGATAGGTATAACATATAGAGGGAATCTATCAGAGAAGCCAGAGGCAGATTTATTCACTATAAAAAAATCCAAGATATTTTTATACCCATAACTCAATAAAATGGATCTCATAAAGACAGTTTATGTTGTACATGTCAAACGGAGCAGGGGACATGCATGCACGCATTATGGAAATATCCCATGATTTCTCCCTTGTGGGGAAATGTTATGGGATGTATGGGTGAGTGGTTAAAATGTCTAGTGCCCAGATCACCAAAGTTATGTCTCTCTGGGGAAAAACTTTAGTGCAGCAGTGGGATGGTTTCAAGATAGAGGACTGGTCATCGCAATGAACATGGGATTAATAGCAGATTGGTTACGGTGGGGTGAAATAATATATCATTTATCAAAGCAGATCTCTCCTGACGCTAACGATAATACAAATAAATTAACCGCTAAAATGCGTCACCAAATACAGCCCACCTTTGTTATATCCGCCCAAGTAAGTCTATATGTAGAAAACACTGTAATACTTTTAGTATTTTGAGAACGTCAGAACCGATCTGGAAATCTTTCTGAGGTACATTACATCAGTAATTGTCGCCATCTACGAATGTCCATTACATTATTGTAACCAAATGACCGCCTTTATCATATCAATTTCAATCCATCCATTTATTTAAAAACATTTAATAAAATTGTAATTGATATATTTAATGGAAACCCTGTAAACCACCCTGATTAATACCATGGTTAACGTGAGCTGCTGCAGTCATGGCTGAATGCCTTGGGTCAGTTCACATGTGGTATCATTGGTTCTCCATGAAAACACTGGAGATATGTTACCGTACCACAGCGCCATATGGAAGTTAACCGTAAAAGCAGCGTTTCAAGGATTTCTAAAATAAAACAAAAGAGGTTGTTGGATACACTGCTTCAGTGAGACACATAAAACTCTAGCTCTGTAATCTAGTTCTTGAGAATACTATAAACTTTGAATGGAAAAGACAGAAAGGAATGTGGAGAGAAACGGCACTGAGAGGTAAAAACAAAAATAAGGACATTGTCACTGTTAACCAGACCAAAGCACTTAGGCATATAACCGGATCAGAAGTTCAAAGTGCAACTTTTTTGAAGAAAATAGGCAGACTTAAAACACCATCTGGATCGAGCTGAAAATGAGCTTACCACACCGGGAGTGTAGAGATGAAACATGTCTTTCCAGTATGTGTAAAAGGCTTTGTGGCTACGTCCTCAGAGTGGCACAGAGATGAAAAGCATGAGAGGCTTGTGCTCTCGCAGTAAACATACAGACAATGTGTGGCTCATTAAAAACTTTATAGCCTTATCTACCCCATAAGACGCCCCCTTTGTTTCCTAAATAAACCCGCTCACGGTGATTTCTCTCTTACATGACTCATAGCCAGACAGTCACAAGCATGCAGAATAAGCAGAAGCATGTTTTGTTTGTTTTGAAATACTTTTGATTTCATGCACATCTTCAAAAGTCACCTAAAAATTCCCCGACAAAGAAATTAAAATAATATGTGTACCAATCTGTTTTTAGTTGGTTAAGAGATCAATTCATATTTGGGGAGATTTAAAACAATATTTTTGCCATTAGTTTCCCTAAAGTCTGTCTAACGTTAAAACCAACATTCCCTGAACTAAACTTGCTGCACATGTATCCCCTGTTTAAATGTAGAAGCTTACTCGATGTTGGTACAATAACAAAAGCAAAACAACTCAGACAGATTACAGGTTTAAGGCACTGATGCATCTAACTATTTTTCAATCTTTTTAAAGGATTTTAAAGCTAGTCAGCAATCAGGAAAAGTGTGTAATGTCAGCGTGTCTGCTGTAGATTAAATGCTGGTGCACAGCTATATCATTACATGGCTAAATGAGAGGGAACATACAAGTCATTTGGTGTTCTTCTCCATTCAGTAGACTTCCTGCTTATATAGACAGCTCTCAGTTGACCCCGGTGGTACAACTAGATTTAAGTGAGAGCCTTTGTTCCTTTTAGTGGCCCATTATACCTCAGGTCAGCCCATAAGACAAAGGAGGTCTGTGACCCTAATGTGAACCACCTTGGGTCACTTCTGGGTTGTCTTACACACCATGCTGTCATGTGTCCTCAGCAGACTTTTAACATCCACTCAGCAGGTCTCCTGTAACTAAAAAGCTCATTGAAGGGGAGCCCACACAGGGTGAAGACGGGCACAGGTCACACACTGTCTAAACTGAAATCCCATACAGATGTTATCCGTTTGATGACATATACACCCACATGCATTGAGAGGTGGGTGAAATTCAATACAAATGTTAGAAGCTAGATGATGTGCAACACCTGTAGGTCTTCAATCGTGGAAAGAGATCAGTGTGTTTCGGTTTCCTGTGCCCGTAACCACATGTGACTGAAATGTTTTCCCCTGGAGACCAAGGTATTTCCCTGATGAGCTCCACAGGCTCAAAGTACCCAGAAATTCCCAGGAAACGTGATAAGGCTGGGCCAATGAGTAACAGATTTGGCACTTGAGTCAACACATACGTGTGCTACTAAAGGCACGAATATAGACAAAGATACGAGCTCCACAAAGACAGGGAGAGGGAAAGGAAGCAGCACCAACCAACCAGAGCTTAGAATAACACACAGGGTGTGTTGTGAGAACACTTTGGAAACTCTTCTATCTGTTATGAACAGATCTATTAATAGCTCAGAACAAAAGGAAACGGTTGTTGGAAGAACTGGGATTGTCCCATCTCCACAAAGAACAGCATTGTTTTTCAAACGGTCACAAGTTAATCAAATTCAACCCCGCTAAAATTCCGAATAGAAAAGAAACGGGAAGAAAAAAGGAACATGTGACGACATGCCCAAAATAGACGAGACGTTCAGACCAAAAAATGAAAAACCCCTTACTCTTTGGAACTAAGAAAAGTTATGAACGGAAGTAATGCGAGCATAAAAAAGGAAGAAGATATTCTCATGAAAGCCCCTAAAACTCCTCTGGATTGGGAGGGACAGAACAATTAGCTAACGTCAAACCACTGTGACCCCGGCAGCCCTTATTTAAACTGCCCTTACCCATTGGTTCTTGTCATTATTAATCAGGCAGGGCAACAACTGAAGACAAGCACGTCTCAAAGTGTGTTTTAATCCACTTTGAGCTGTCACATTCCACCGTCTCTGTGCATTTTGTAATGGTATCCAATTACCTGCTAAAAATGGAGGCTGGTGAGCATGTGAAGAGCCATATGGCTAAGTAGGGTGACCAACCTCTACGGATAAATACTCCTCTGCTTTACTCTGAGGAACACAGCTGGCTATTGTTTAAGGGATAGCAGAAAAAGGCTCTGTGAGAAGTTGAATCACTGGGGGAAAGTGGAGAGTTTTAACACCCCCTATGCACATCTGTAATGCAAGATGCTACCTCCAGTGGTGTCATTCAACAGCCGTGGACGAACAATTAGTTCCCCCTCCACTTTTACGTTATCCCAAAGGATCGGAGGGTCAGGGCAGAGACCTCCTGAGAGCCAGTACAAGAAGAGCCGGGATGAACCGGAGCAGAGTCTATGAAAACCAGCAGGGTTCGCCTTGTTTATAGGCGGCTGAAATGTGGCGGTTGTGCTTGCTATTAACCACAGACAACACTCTCACATGCCACTCATGCATGCACATTTAAGCTCCCACCCATTCGGGGCGTAACCAGTCTTTGATCGCCTGGGGCCTATATTTGTTTGAGGAAAATGAAATGGGCATCGGAGCACAGCAGGGTGGTTGTGAGCGTACAGAAGGACACTAAGACAGCCTCGGTGGCACTCTGCCAGGGGAAACACAAGTGGCATGTGGGGAATCTTGCTTGGAGGGAAGAGACGGTGGTTTGGACGGGGCCACGACTCCGAGCACATGATGGTGTCTCTGAATGACTTACTGTTTGGGGCCGTTCTGCCCCACTAACCCTAGTGTGAGGGGGGGGGGAATGTCGTGCTCTGTAATATAACTGACCCGTTCTCCCCATTTGGTAGCGATTTGCTGAAATGGCTTTGCACGCTTCACAGGCAGCCGTATGGAAACAGGGGACATATGGAATGTTCAGATAAGTGAGAAGGAAAATAAAAAGGCAGTTTGAGTTCAGCCTGAGCGGTCAAAAGTCAAAAATAATCCTGCGAGTTCTCATAGCAGGAGCATTTGAAAGTCATTACAGCTCACTATGCCACATGCTGCGATGACTATCACATTTCCTGACCTCTCTCCTGGTAATTCGATCCAGTAATGATTAAGTACAGTTCCAGACTTACTGTAGGGGCTACCGTACGTTGGGTCAGGCTTACCTCTGGGGGTCTTTGCTGCCGTCTGTGCTGTTTTCGCTGCTGCTTCCGTCTCCCTGATGTCTCGTGTCCTCAGCCGGGTCCAGCTCGGGGGTGTCGGCCTCCTCTTTGGTGTCCGAAGCTCTGGGGACAGGGCTGTCTCCGTCCTGCTCCGGGAGAGGTGTGAAGCGGCCCTGGCTCCCTACGCTGCTGATGCTCCCCGTGGTTCCATGGTGGTTCCTCTCCACGCTGCTGATGCTCCCCGTGGTTCCATGGTGGTTCCTGTCCACGCTGCTGATGCTCCCCGTGGTTCCAGGGTGGTTCCTCTCCACACTGCTGATGCTCCCCGTGGTTCCATGGTGGTTCCTCTCCACGCTGCTGATGCTCCCCGTGGTTCCATGGTGGTTCCTCTCCACGCTGCTGATGCTCGACGTGGTTCCATGGTGGTTCCTCTCCACGCTGCTGATGCTCCCCGTGGTTCCATGGTGGTTCCTCTCCACGCTGCTGATGCTCCCCGTGGTTCCATGGTGGTTCCTCTCCACGCTGCTGATGCTCCCCGTGGTTACATGGAGGTTCTTGTCGACGCTGCTGATGCTCCCCGTGGTTACATGGAGGTTCTTGTCGACGCTGCCTCCGGCCCGCTTGGCCTCGCTGCACCGCCTCATGGCCTGGAGCTGGGAGAGCGGCACTATATCAGCGCCCTGGGGTCGATGCCAGACTGTGCGCCGCCCGGTGGAGTTATAATAGTAGAAGCGGCCACTGTGGTGGTCGAACAGCTCCCACCACTGGTTACCGTCTGCCTGCCGGACAGGAACACCTGACGGGACTTCCCAGCCGCACTCCCCGCTGGTCAAGTTCACATACATACGCTCACGGGAGCGTGGCTCCAGGATCTCCACCCAATCAGCACTGAAAGAAAAAAACATTCAGTATCAGAATCAGAGTTGCTTTATTATTCCCACAGCGGGGAAATTGAAATTGTTACTGCAAAAGTGGCATAGCAGGTAAAAAAGGCAAGCAATAATAAAAAAAGAAAAGAACACATTAGTAATACAAATAAAGACAAATAAGTACACAACCATGGCTAAAGAATTAGTAGCAGCAGTTTAAAATATCTATCTATCTATAAGTGTCATAAATAACATAAAAGGTATTGAGATCTGAATTAAATGCTGAATACCACCAACACGATAAGATGATGCATTCGAGGCCACAGTCACGCCTGAGTACTAATCAACCCGACAACCAGTAAACAACTCACACTGTTAAACAGACTGAGAGGCCCAAAAAGGCACACTCGCCATATGGAGAGAGTGTCAATGCTTGTATCCCCTACATGCATCCATCTGTGAGTGTGTGAGTGTGTGAGTGTGTGTGTGTGTGTGTGTGTGAGCAATGATGTCATCCCTTTGGTAGGCAACGGAGCAGCAGGAGTGGTGTGTGTGTTTCCTTATTAAGGGGACAGGTGGACATGCTCAGTGAGACATCAGGCATGGAGTCAGCAGGGCCCAAAGAGAGCCATACGCTCCGAGTGCTACTAACGCGAAAACCACAGAGCTTAGCTACAATCACTGAGTGGCAACAGCCAGCTCAGCACAATACTCACAGACAACAAAGAAGAGACAGCAGAGGGGTGGTGCAAAAATAGAATTAGAGGCAGGGAGAGGAATAGAAAAAGACAACCCACATTGCATAAAAAGTATATGCAAAAGGCAAGGGTAATGGGGACAACTGATTACACGCAACTAGACCCAGAGTTCCCGTTAGCCGGTAATTACCGGACAATGACCGGTAAAATATGCTGAAGTCCGGCAAATCTAAATCTCTCCGGTCAAAATGTCCGGTCAAAATAATTTTCCCTTAGCGCAATACCGCATCAGTTGCGCCACTTATGTGACAGACAAGAATAGTATGTGACAGACAAAAGAGTATGTGACAGACAAAAATTGTCAATTCTAATGTCTAACACTTAATGTGGAGAAAGAGATGTCCTGTATGGGTTGATTGTGCGTTGATCTGTTGGTAATGCCTCGGGGTTCCGGTGGGCATGTAAACAAATGCATAATGCTGCGCTATACTTTGTGGCCTCATCCGGTTGCATAGCGACGCTTATTGTTTAGGTGTCTTTTAACAAGCAGGTAGTCATATCATTAGCTAGAACTAGCTAGATCTGATCGATATGGACATAAATGCGAGTAAAGTCTAATCTGACAGGAGAGAGAGATCGGCTGCTGCTGACGAGTCGACACGCAGCTCTGCATGATCCCCTGCAGCGGCGAGCAGAGCAAAACACACTTCAGGTTAGAAAATCACACGTAGCTATTTTAATTACCTCTCAAACTACCTAAACTAGTTATAGATATGTTTAGTTTTACTGTCGGGTCACTCATTACTGGATCCGCGAGCTGCATGATACTGACGGGCTGTCAGGAGAAGGAGAGAGCGCTCCGTTTATTATTCCCGCGTTTTTGTAAATTACTGTACACTTTTGAATAATGTAGTTAATCTACTATAATTAGTTTGTTTAATGTCGAATCATATCAATTTGTTTTAAAGCTCAATAAATAACAAAGAAGACCTTTAACCGGCACTTATCTAATTTTGTCCGGAAGATTTCAACTTTAACGGACATGTTGACCGGCAAAAAAATATTCTAACGGGAACTCTGACTAGACCATGAACTGAATTTCAGGGAAATTATAGGACACTATCTAAAACAGTGTGTGGCATATATTGCAGTGGATTGATGTCATCCCATATTGCAGGTATGTGCTGTAGCCACCTACATCAGGGTCAATACATATGTGTGACAAATGATTGAGGTCTGCAGTTTGCTGGTGCTTGATATCCAGGTCATGCTACTTTCTAAGTGGGCTCCATTATGTCTCCTTTGATCTAGTTCCTTAACGCAGGCCTTAACTGTGCCATCCATGTGGGAACAGGAACACTGCAAACAGCCAGCAAGTGTCCTTCCCCCAGACTCACACACAGGAGGAAGGACTCAAAAATATCCAATAAATCTCAACGCTCCCTTTTCATAATGACTACTTACTGGTTTTGGCAAAGTTAGATCATTTGTCTTCTCCAGTATCCCACCCCATTCTAGCCTAGAATCTGTGGTAGAAAAGTGCCAGTGTGGAGGAATTAGTGTCACAACAATCCGCCACAGGTTTGGAAACCTTCCCAGCTTTCTCAGGACAGAGAAGCTTTTCTTCTCACTGTCACGGATGTTCGTGACAGTGAGTCTGCTGTCCGGGCTACCTGTGATGATCCAAAGGGGCATGAAGCTTAGCGTGGATAAGAGAGCCGACAGTGTCCATCACATGACCGCCATTCGTTCCTCATGTGCCTGCCAAATCAACCCTGTGTGTGTGGCCCCGGCCTCTGAAATAGGCACAGAGGAGCTTGGTGCCACACAGGTCTTCCAGGGTTACAATGTCACTGTGTTGACCATAACTCACTGGGAACAACAGCTGCTCTCCGTTTTAACTGCAAAGCTTTGACTAACTACCTGTTCATCATGTATAAAGTATATCAACCTGCACGTCTTTTATGTGCTGCCAGTACCAGGCCCTCTGTGGGTCAATGTAACAGCCAGGTAAACATAGAAAGAGCATGGGGAGGATATGGAAGCTTTTCACATACTGTCTTCCCATGTATGCTGGGAGCCATCTGGTCCAATCCCTCACAGCAGGCAAGCAACCCTGACCTGTCCAATTGAAGACTGTGTTTTGAACCCAACAAGGTTTAAGGTCGGACGAAAGGGGTAAATTAAGGAGGGAAAAAGTGTAAGGAGGTGTCAGGATGTATGAATGCGTTTGTTTGAGTGGCAGGGGTTGGGTTTAATGCAGCATAATGGTGTTTACAGTCCGAGCCCCACAATGAGGCCCTACTACCAGAAGATGACTTACAGACTGATTAGATTCACAACACTTCATGGCAGCCTAGCATATAATGGGGCATTCATAGCGGAGGACAAACAGTCAATACCACACCACACATACCAGCGCTGCATCCTCTTAATGCCCCCGGCCCTCCCAAAGAGGCCTTACAACTCTGAGAAACGATATCTCCATGCTGCATTCCTTGTTATTCAGGCCTGTGTTTGTCATCACTCTCAACTTGAACCGATCCCTTATGAACATGCGGTGAAGGAAAGTGGAGACTGTCTGTCCCTTTCTGTGAAACCTATACAGAATTAAACATGCTGAACCTTGTCCTGAACACCCCGACAGGAAACCATGCTTTGAGGGTCAATTGTCGGGGCCACGGCTGACGAGTTTAGCAGCATGGGGTGTAGTGGTTGCATAAGGGCTGTTCCCTCTAGGTAAATAAACAGCATTTAGAGCTGAGAGCGAGCCTGCTGGGCTCTGTTGACACGATCAGATAAGCAGGAAGAAGGACCAGTGTCCAGGTTCGGAAATTCCTGGTACATCCCTTTTGGGAATATTCAAACAACAGATAGGGATGTCCAATTCATGGGTTTGTCTAGTACAAAATGGACTTGTGCGGGTCGAGGATCTAACTGGATGAGGTTGACACATTAAAATAACAATACAGAAACAGAATAACCCCTTAATTAAAAAGAATAACGTAGCAAACAACACAAGTCCACTTGCTTTGAATTTCTAGGATATATCTTAAAATCCATGCACATAACTTCAGCCTACACAGCTTGAGTTGATTCCCTGACTTAAGAGGCAGACATAAAAGTATAGTGCAGGACGGGGCAGTCTTCCTCGTGCTGCAAATGTTCATAAATGGTTTGGAATGCAGTCTGCACCAGCTCAGCGATGTTGGACTCCAACAGAAATGTTTTATATTGAACTAAAATTAACTTGTTACACACACGGCCCTTTGACTGAACGACACAGCACCTGATGTACCTCTGGGGAAACTCAATCTAATTGAAGCAGACGTGTATGCCAGAGACCTGTGGTGGGGGTGTGCATGGTCCTAAACCAGTACTATTTCTTTTTAAATCTTTTGTAAACACAGGAACATAGAAAGAAAGTTGAGGAGTAGGATCTTACAGATTGTATTAGACACACTATTAATTATAGTAACTTTTAGTTACATCAGGACTTTATTGAGTAAACAGATGTCTTTTTCAAGGACTCTTTTTTTTAAACAGTGTCCCTAAATGTGAGGTTTGAAATAGTTTTGGAGCATACATTGTTTAAAGTGGGTTTATCATTAGAGTTTGAGTAACAACACTCTCTCTCATTGCACACAGAATCTTTGTCCCCCATTTGGGTCAAGGAGATGCTTGTCTATGTTTATTCCACAGCGACTAAAAATATAGCTTGTAAAAAAGAAATCTGTGCAAACAGAGCCTGCCACTTAGACCAAGAGGCCAAAACTGGAATATGGACACGCGCAAAGTCAAGCACAACTTCTTAACCATCTTGTTACTCCCAGTCCCAATGAGCCAAAGGTCTCCTGAAAGAGACGTACATCATCTATCATCTACAATTTGGAGTCAGGTCCAAAGTTAAATAGAACTGAAAGCGGTTTCCCAGAGTGAGGGAAACAACAGAATATAGCTCATGGAATCTGCCCCATTGTTCGAAGCCAACGCCAAAGAGTATGGCACGTTTCCCAGCAGCTGTAAACATAGAGGACTGGACAATACATTCACTACAAATAGGGCAACGAGCTCCCTTGTGTCATTGTCCAACTATGGATTTCCAACTAACTCAAATACCAATGTGGTTGTTGATATTGTCCAAAAAAGAAAAAACATTACAGAGAGTGAAAAATATTTTCTGTGTAGCATTTCATCAGATAATCTAGTAATGGCTGAAATGCAGCTACATTAGGGACATTGTGATATTGCTGATGGACAGATAGGACGCCTTTAGAGCCAAATGCATCCATTTTACCAGACACTTGTTAAAGTGAGATTA